CTTTCCACACAGGATAAGCAATCTCATCAAAAGTACAGTTAATATGGCCAAACTTCCCTAATGTTTATAGTAAAAACTCCACAATTTTCAGCCTGGCAAGGAAGTTCCTCTATGTTTGCAGGTACCTATAATTCCAACTTGATCATTCACCTACAGCTGCACAGGCCTCCTGGTATTCCTATAAGCCACCCTGCTTTTCTACACCATCAGGGTTTTTTTTTTTAATTTCAAACACATTTATTCTCTAATCTGAATATAGCTTCAGTGTCTTCCTGATAATTTCAGGAAAACCAGAAACAGTGTTTTTTTTAGTTGTTTTTAGTAGGTAAGGTTTCTAGAGCCCGACCTGCTAGCCACAGTGCTAAATCTCTTCAGAGCTCAAGTGCAACCTGACTCATAAGTTGTTCTTTGTGCAAGTATACTTTTAAATTTAATTGCTTTCAAATATTAAAAAAATATCCCAAACAACCAGTTACAGAGATTAGGCCCATTAGCAGAATAGGCCCATGAGCAGATCTTTTTACACAGTGACAAAGTCATCACTTGTATGTCATTGAGTTTAAGGGAGGAGACTATGTCTCATCTACTTTTGAACACAACATGTAGGATATAACTGGCATGTTATAGTTCCATGAAAATATTCTCTTCAATATCCGAAAGTACTTTATATTAATATAATACTTTGAGTCTATTTGTTATCCAAAATCTGCCAGTACATTTTAATTGGCTATCAATTGTTTTGCCTGAGTCTCTCTTTTAAACTGCAAAATAATAATAATGAAGACCAATTTTTAGATAAAAGAACACATGAAAATATGACATAGATGTTGAAAAGACAGCCAGAATACTATTGACATTGCCCCAGGAGTATCAAAAGGAACAACTGGTTCTTTCAAAGTAGAAAAACAAATTACAACATCAAAACTATTTTTTCTCTAAAGAAAAAGTGATGTACTAGATAAGTGAAAGTCTCATAGCAATCTCATTTTTTTTAAATAGAACTGCACATTTTAGTTTAACTCCAGGCTCTGCTCATTTCTGTTTTGTTCATCACCTGAAAAGTCCTCTAGAAATAATCTGTGTATTTAGCCACTGTGTCAAGCAATTTAAAAGGCTTTCCTAAGGAAAACATAACACCTATTCTTATAGATAATCATTTAGTAGTAAGATATGTTCTCAGTTTATCCCTGGGCATGTATTATAACCTTAAAGAGCTGAGAACTAGAACTTTTCCACTGAAACTCAGACAATATAGAAGGAGGGAGTCTCCTTAATTTTGTCAATATATCCATCTTTCTAGATATCAATCCATGATTAATGATACAAACAAGGGTAGTTTCATAGGTTGAATTTCCCTGAGCTAGCAGAAATATTAATCTGAGGTTTGAGGCAGTGACTGATGTACCAATACATTGTTATAGTATAATATTTTGCATTTGGCTGGAGTTTGATGCATCTTGGATGGAGGAATAGGCAGGTGCATTCTTTCAATATTATTCTTAGGTAGAAAATTTCAGAATATTTTAGTGTTATTATGAGTAACATTAACACAGACTAAGGAAGGTCATAGACTGGGTTCCTCGGCATAACTAACCTAGAGATGGAATTTATATCTGAGTTCTCTATAAAAGAGCCTATGACTTATTTGAGGATACAGTGGAAAAGTAAGATATAGTACAAAAAATGGAATCAGAATATTTAAATCATTCTCATGAAATACTAGCTACATTTCAAGAAACATCTGCTTGGGGAAGTTGCTCCCCAATGGAGAAGTAAATAAACTGAAACAAGGTACTCTGTCTTGCTGAAGAATCCACAGTTGCCTAATGGATCTGTAATGTGGACACTGAGCACTCTTGCAATTTAGGTAGGAGTGTAACACACAGTGAATTTCTATCACTGTGGTCTGTTTCCATCTGTAAATTCAACATCATGGAATAGTGTTGTGCATTTGTTATGAACTGAATAAACCAAGCTTGAATGTAACTTGGTCCAGAAATAGGTATATGTTTGCTTGTCTGAAGATCATATTTCCTTGTTTACACATTTGTTATTTACCAAAATAAAATAAAAGTATACAATTCTTAATTTTTCAGGGAGAAATATAGAGGTGTGTGTGTGTGTGTGTGTGTGTGTGTGTGTGTGTGTGTGTGTGTGTGTGTGTGTGTGTAAGAGGGGGTACATATAATAGGGACCTGATTTTTCTTTCAGAGAGCTTCTCTAACCAAATGCAATTTAAGCCTGGATCTAAGATGACCAGAAGTTAATTAGGTAAAGTATAGAAAAGCCTTTCATTTCAAGTGAAAAGCACATGGGGATGCTTGAGACAGGTAGAGATGTAACACATTTTGTGAAGAGAACGGATGCCAGTGTGAGTTCCGTGGTCAGCAAAAATAGTGAAATGAGGTGTTCAAAAGGCAGGCAGGTGCTAGATCATGCAGAGTCTGACTTTGCATTTTATCCTAATGCAAAAGGAGAGAGATCTGATCTGTTTTATTTTAACAGATCATTTTAGCTGCGTTCACAAGAAGGAATGAGGCTGACAGGGGAAATGGAGAGAACAACAGAGTAGATGATGGGCTTTGATTAAAATTGTAGAAACCGAAATAGAGGAAAGCAAATAGACTTGAGGGTAGAATCAATAAATAGGACTTAAAGATGGACACAGTGATGGAGGTGGGAAGACTAATGTGCTAAGTATCATTCTCAGGTCTTTGACTTCCACCACTGATGTCATTCACTGAGTTGGAGATTGAGGAAGAGGAGCTAAGTGGGTTTGAATACTTTTGGTATCAGTGTGTTGCTGAAAAAAGCCTCTAGAATGGGTGTACATATACACACGTGTATAATTTTTCCAGGGATATAAAAGAGAATGTAGGGGTAAAATGAAAGAAGGGGAACAGGAAACAGAATTAGAATGAACAGAAAATAGAAATCCTAAAGTCATGGGGAAGGTAGGTGTGGTTTGGGGACTGGTGCATATTAAAATTGCTTAGGGCATGTGATTGGAAAAGGAAATGCTTTGTTATGAAAAAAAGAAAAAAGAAAGAAATGTCTTCTTTTCTTTATAATAGTAATCACAGCAAGTGGACAGAAAAGAGCTAATCTGGTGGGTTCACACCAGAGTTAGACCCTGACAGCTGTTTATTGGTAAATTTTTAAGGAGGGATCTATCAAGATCCTTAATGGAGTGGATAGGAATCCGTGTAAAACACACATTCATTAAATACACACACACACAAACACACACACACACACACACACACACACACACACACACACACTGGGTCAGAAAAATAGAGATGAGAAAAAGATTAAGATAGAGAAAAATAAAAATAAATGGGTGAAGGGACTTTCCAGTGAGCAAAAATGTCTCTGACACTATGCATGTGTCTCGGCATGTGACCTATTCTGCCATGTCATCTTTCCCTTGGGTTTGAACCCCTGATCTGTCATTTAGTGGACATCTGTGACAAAGCAGGTAACTTCTCAAATCTTTATCTCTCCTCATTTAGAGAAATAAAACAATGATAACAACTGTCTCATAATCTTATTCTATAGATTAAAGGAATAATTCATAAGAAGTAATTTAGCCAAATGCTTGGCTAAATAAGAGTTCAGTTTGCAGAGATGCCCATATGTGGCTGACCATAGGGAAGTCATTATGCAGTGTAAATGTTTCCCTTTCTTCCCTTGGCTATGAAACCCAAGTCCTTGAGTTTTTCACTTGTATAGGTCATCACAACAATAAACAGTTTTTTTGGAATCAATAAAAAAGATAGGGTTTAATTAATATTTTTAAATTGCCATGAAGTATTATTAAACTTAAATTATTACAATAAGTTAAAATTTTCCAGCTGATGGGATAGTCAAATTTTTCTCATTTATTTCCGGAAATACTATCTAGAACTTACAGTTTGCTATTTAGTTTTCTTAGAGATCTGTAATTGACTTTTGAGTGGATTGCCCGAAAACATAAAAAAAAGATGTTTTAAATGAAGATCCTTTCAATATATTTATTTTTAACTTGAATCATTGTAAAATCTGTATGTATTTTTCTTAGCCTTAACAACATTGTGAAGACATTCAGTCTGCAAACATAATTAAATAAGCACCTACTCTGCATAGAAATCTTCCAACTGGGCTCTCCATCTAGACTGAATTGTAAGCATCTCATGGAGTACTATATTTTATTTCTTCTATCTTGATTTCTCTGTGACTCTGGCTACTGTATGATAACAGGCTTTTCATACCCACATACATGTTTTAGGATATTAAAGTAAACCTGTGTCCAGTCTTTAGATATAGAAGAATTTGCTTGCAAAGTTGTTATGGAAAAACTCAGAACCTTCTAAGTTTAAATTTAAGCTGCATATTTACTGGCAAGATCATGCTGAGGGACATCCCACAACCTTCATTGACTTTTGTATCTTTACATACACAGGGATGAATTAAATAAGACAACATATGTAAAAACCTAGCAAGTAGCAAAATATAAACATTGTTTATCTTTATTGTGGTTAGATAGAACCAATTAATTCTATAGTTTTAGGAAACTGCTTAGTTCCTCAGGAAGCCAGTTTTATGGTCACTTTAATTTAATATTCTAGTTGACATGTTAAAAGATAATAATAACATGTACATATTTAGGTCATTGTATCTGAGGCATAGTGAACATTTATTAAGTATTATTTAAAATACTCAGTAAATGTTCTCTTTTATCCCTCTAATGAAGGAAATGATGGTAGAACAATGTAATTATTTCCTTATTGAACACGTGGAGCTCTACATGATCATGTTTGAAAGTGCTTTGTGAGCACAGCAGCAAGAAAAAAAAAAAAGCAATGTTCTTAATTTCTCCCATTGTACCATGGAAGCTGAACATCTCTCCACAAGGAAGGTGCTGAGCACGAAAACAAGTGAGTGGAGACGAATTCCACCCATCCATCCTTGTGGAAGCACATGCAACTGGAGATGAAGTGAGGAAGCACATGCAGTACCTGGTCATGTCAGAGTCAGGGAGCAGGCCTAGGTGGTAGTGGGGGTAGGGAGCTGAGAGAAGGAAGCTTTTGTCACACTCAACAGGGGAATAGTGCCTGGGAGAAGCAGGCTTATCACATAGTTTGTTCACAGTGCTGTAAACAGGTTCCGGAGGCCTGGTAATACAAGAGGAAGACAAAGATGCATAGTTAGCACACAGGAGGACCAATCAAGCAGCTAGTAGTACTTCACTGTATTTAAAAGTAAAAACCCAACTTCGTGACATTTTGTTATCACATCGCAGTATAAAACAAATTTTCTGCTTATATTTAATATATTATACATTATTTATAGGTTTATTTATACATGTTTTGACTTTATTCCTTAGCCTCAGTTTTGTGTAGATATGGCACCATAAGTGTTTAGTCCAGTGTGACCTGGCAGAGAGTTTTCGGAACTAGCTGCTGACCGGGAAGTTGATTTTGCTAGGATCTTTATGGTTATCTCCTATTGAATTCCTCCCTCTTCTAACTTGAGACTCAAAGCAATAGGATCTTGGAAAAAAAGGAGTTAATGAATATAAAATATTTTCATGATGATGTAACCCCCATATCCTATTTGCACAGGAGAACTGATTCAATTTTCAGTCTGATTTTGACTCTACAGGCCAAGAAAATGATATTACCATTTTTTCTATTTCAGTTGTACCATATTTATAGAAAAAATAAAATCAAAGCTGACTAATGTGTGTCCTCAAAAACATCATAGCTATATTTTACTCAGCCAAAGATAAATGCTTCATTTTCTGAATACCATATTACCTCCAAGACAATGAAAATGGACCTTGTACTTTGCCAAGAGCTGAACTCTTTAAACTTTCACTTGTATTTTTATAATAATTTTATGTCTATATAATATTTTTACATTATTCAACAATTAAATAATTCACTGTTTGGGGAAAGCTGAAATACATTAGGTTTTAGAAAGAGGTGCTTCTTTTTTCTTGCTTATGGTCACCCCCAGTGTTCCTTAATCATGAATTAATTACTTGTCTAAGCTTAATCATGTATCATCCAAAGCCTTGTGAAAATAGAGATAAATTACTAGTGTCATAGATTCATGTAACTCTGCTGTTTAATCTGCCATTCCTTTCTTCCTTGTTTATGTGCTATTTTATATGGTCACATGCTAAAAATTAGGTATCTCTGACTCAGAGTCTTTTCTTGCCTGTAAGAATGCTTGATATACCTGTGGACATGAATCAATGAGAAGAAACAAAAACTAAGACATAGCACCCTTGATTAAGTCCTCTTATAAGCAAACAGCAAAATCAAAATGATGGTGAAAAGGTGGTTCATCTTTGAAGCTTTTCAACCAATAGCTTCATTAAAGTTCTAGATTCTGCCATGTAGTATTAAAATATAGGTCTCAGTACAATACATAATAAATGCTACACAGCTATATTCAGAATACTCATGCTAGGAATTAGATAAATGTTCACTGAATCAACAGATAGTATTTGTTCTTCTTTACCAAGAAAAATACATTTTTCTTGCTCTTTCAAGAAAGCCCTAAGGTATTTTGAGTATTTTAGATTGTTATTAGATCTAAAACCTTTTATATATTTCTTAATTTTTAGGTTACAAAGAGGGATGAAACCCCAATGTTGCTATTGAAAAAATGAAAGAAAAGCTTTAAGTACTTGGCATGCAGGTTTTGTGTACTCTCTGAAGACTGAGCCCCTTGTGTTAGTCTCTGGCCACCGTGCCTGCCCATAGTTCTTGTGAAAGTTCCTGCCCATGTATACAATTCTCCTTGAAGACGTCTTAGCTCTGGGCCCCAGAAGGTCTGATACCTGCAGCCAGCATATTAGTCATTCTTGTAGTTATGTTCCCTGTCACTTCTCTGCAGACAGACAAAAAAATGCCAATCACTGTCACTGGGATCTGAACGGCTGGAATAGATGTCACCATCATTCCAGTAAGGAAATGCAGTGGGAACATAATTTTCTGCAGTGTGAGTCAGCCAGTCATAATGGAAAGACCTGTTTATTTGTTATAAACACCCAGAATCAGAAAGTAATGAATATGGAAGTCCAACAAAAGTATTTACTTGCCCTCTTTATTCTGTGATTATCTCCAGGCTAGTGGAAGGGGTAGTTGAAGATATTAGTGAAATCTCTAGGAGAATTTATAAATAAATCATTTATCCTGATATGCACTACCAAAGGGCAAAGAAAAAAGACTTCTTGGTCTCATCTGCTGAGCCAACAACATTTATTTGCTCATCTACAGGTTTATAATTGCAGGCTCTTGTAGCATATAATTAACACAATCCTGGCCCTTGGTGATCTCTGAACTCCATTAGCACTTGCTATTTGCCCTGCTTCCTTTGTATTTTTAATCACAATCACATGTGCAATTATGGCATACTGGAGAGGGATGCTGCATCCATACCCTATTTAGAAAATCTACCCTGTCTGTAACAGCCCCCCTCTCCCCTCAACTTGATCCAACTTGACTCAGCCACTGAATAGCCAGTGTGACTTAGATGATTTGACCAGAATCAGGCCCCTCCTGAGGTTTATGATATGTGTGGTAGGGATAAAAAAAAAAGAGCAAACAAAAACTAGGACCACTTAATTGGATTCTTCTATGAGAACTGGATAGTTAGGAATAAAGCTAAAGGAAAAGAAATTAGCTGGCAGTATAAGAAAATGCAGACACACAGAGTCACTGTAGAGGCATCTTCTAACTATAGAGAACAAGAGGAGATCTCAACTACATATGTCCAAATGTCTGTAGGTTCTGATTCTGGGATCATTCTAGAATAACAATCTAGGTTCACCCCATAAGGCAGCTTAGGAGGAGGATGTAAGTCATTGATTGTTCCCTTGTGACATTTGTTGTATAATGAAAACAACTACAAACCTCCCACCTCATCCGCTTGACAGAGTTTAGGTCAGATCTCTTGCTTGCAATTAAGAAAGAAAATAAAACAGACACTTTCAGTCACTGCAAGTAGATTATGCTACTCACGAAAACTGCCTAACCTTGACTCCATGAAATCTCAAAGAATCTCAGGCCAGGAACCTATCAATTCTGTCTTTCAGATTTTGATATTTGGTGCATGACTGGTTCTTTTTGCATTAATTTTATTTTTAAAAATTGCATTAAAGTGTTTTTAGTACTGAGTTCTGCTGGTGCTCCTTTAAATTTGCTCCTGGTGTGAATATCTAGAGCAATCCCCTAATGGCGACCATTATATCTCAGTTATTTTCTGAAAGGGAAGCATAGCTCTTCAGAAAATTGATTCCTACATGAGAATATATGGAAACAAACTCTTCACCACTCACCCCAAACCAGGCATTTTACACAATAGCTCTTGTGAGAATACTCTGAATTCTCTATACAGGAACAAACAAAGGCAGTGACTGTGGTAGCTTTTATCACAAAAGACTCTTCATAAAGGTGTCTTCTGAAGGCTCATGCTTACTCCTGATATAAGAAAGGTAATTGACAATCTGTCATAGCTCTGGAACCTGTTGATCACTTCCTTTAAACTTCCCAGGTAGTCTCAGTGTTTCTAACAACAGATGAGGCCAACTTTACCTCATCATGTGTGCCTGCATCTTCATAGTATTCTTTTTTTCTGGTAGGGTTCACAGCTGTGGTGTCATTTCAAGCTATTGGGCCATAACTAACTTGTTATTAATAATAGTCTCAGCATCATGATCTGCAAATATTTCTTTTCAAAACAGAAAATGGGATTGGTTTACTGTTTTCTCTATATCAGCAGCACTCCCAGTTCTATTTTAACATGTTTACTCATTGAAGGAAGAAAGGGTAGAGTTAGCACTATATCAAAAAATGATCTTCAAGTTATGAATTATTATTAAGGTGTTTTATTTATTTCATAAAAGTGCTTAGGTTTCAATAAAACATGCCTTTTCAAGACAGTTTGGCTCAGCATGGGTCATGGCAAAGAAGAGAAGAGGGTCATGATATTTTAATACTAGATGAACAATTGAGGTACAGGAAGATTTTTGGGGTATTCTGAAATATATTCAAGTAAATATTATCTGAAATACACAGTGGCCAGACCAAGGAATCTGAGGCCCAGATTTGCATTAGGTCAATATGTCCTATACTAGTGCTTAACCTGTTAGAATTTTATAAAATCATTTTTGAAAACTTTTCTTCACTTTCTTCATTTTAATTAAAATTTAAAGGTAAGGGATAAATCTACAAGTAGTAATTTATAGTTATTAACTTCTTTGTAAAGAGAAGTCCAATAAAACATGAGATGATTAACTAAATAGAAACTTAAACCCATAGAGTTAAGATTTTAAAAAACCCTCATATAATTAAGCACTAATCAGAGAAGACATCTGTTCATAATAAAATCATCAGCATTTTTAAGATGTTTCTACAAATAAATGAAAAAAACAGCACACAATAAAAATTAAACAAAGGTCACTAGCACCAAACCACAAAAGAAAAGATAGAAATAGCAAATAGGTACCCACATATAAATGCTTGACCCCGCAGGAATGAAGTTAATGCAGATTAAATCAAGTGCCCTTTTCTGTGTCTTATAGAAATAGAGTGTGTCTGAACTAACAGATCATCCATCTCTTAGTTTGGTATGGCAATGCAGATGCTCATATTGCTGGTGCTATGTTGTGTGAAACCTCTTATAACTCTTCAAGAAAGCAATTTGGCAGTATGTTTCAGAAGCTTGAGCTGTAATCTTGTCTTTTGTATCAGATATTCTACCTATAGTCAGCTGTCTTAAAAAGAAAATTTAAAAATGTTCACAAAAGTTTTTATATGGAGAAAGTCATCTTGTTTGTCATTAGGGCAAAAAGAATACAAAAATATAATATTTGACCAGGGCACAAAGGCACGAAGCATAAGATATACCCACAAGATGGTTTATAACAGCCATTGAAGTTGATATTTATGCCAATTTTAATGATTCAGGAAATCTATTGCATTATGTCAAACACAACCCAGAGTGTCCATGGGGCTAGAGGGAGCATAAGCATCTATTTCCTCCCGACTTCTGAGAGAGTCTGAAGTGAGGACGTGAAAGCTATCAAGGTGGTAATGGGGAGTAGTGTGGATTGAAGTAGGGTGATGGGACTTTCATAAAGCAGTAAGCAAGAAAAATT